CTGTCCCCCGTCAGCCCATCGATACCGCTGTCCTCATAATCACTGCCATCTCCCGCCGTGACATCCTTAATACCAAATAAATATATGAATAAATGTGTATTTATATTGGCTAATTTACCATGATTATTTGTGATGATGGGATAATGATTTAATTTACACAATTTTATAGGTATACATTTAAATTTAACTTAAGAGTAAATTAGAGTAATTTCTAGCCAAAGAAACAGTTTTGAACTGAACAACTGAGCATAAAAAGACAAAATGGTTTTATATTAACTATAGAAATTTTAGAAAAAAAAAGAAAAATATTAAAAATGAATTAATATGAAAATATTTGAATTACATTTTTTTTTAACTTAATTTTTTTTTTTTCAGGCCTGGTAATCCCACTTTTCAAATTTCCTTAAGTTTCCAGGTTTTTCAGGGCCGTGGAAACACTGTATATATATATAAAAGTATTAAATGACAGCAAGTAAATGTACATAAAATGATCAAATATAGGCCCAGACGCAATATGTGAAGTAATTTTGGAGTAAAATCAGTGAAAGAGCCAGAACCAAAAATGAACATGTAATGAGTTCTGTGAATACCAGATTGTATAAAAAGACATGACATGTATCTAAATTTACTCAAAAAAAACAATTTTTTCTAGTTAATTAGCCTAGGACATTGGTTTTAACATGACTTACGGTACTTTACCTAAAACTAAGCAACAAAACCAATCATAGTTCCTGGATGTTCTTTCTCAGCAACTAAACGTGAGCCTTGTGATTTCGACAGACTCAAAAGATAAAGACTCAGTTTTCCACTCTAATAAACGTGGCTCTTCTCCAACACATCTTCAGTCCTCCTACCTGTTGGCCGGCGCGCGTGGTGTCTTCAGAAGCAGATGACGAGCTGCAGGTTATGAAGCGAACATTTTACAGAAGTTGACACAGGTCTGCCTGAGAGACCACAGCGCTGTCTGAACTCTGTGTGTCGAGTTATAGCGCAGTAAAGTTGACTGTACAATACCACTCTGTACTGCTGCTGGGGAATGATGGGATATTACCCACCAAACCCGGCATCTAGCGGGAGTCACATGACTGGACTGTGCGGCCCGGCATGCCATTCATCTTCACCGATGGAGCCTCACAGGGAGGCAGTGTCACACGGTGATTTCATCTTTTTCTTTCTAGCTGTAGCAAATACCTACATACAACTGAAACACTTTCTTGCACACACATATTTAAGCAAGAAATATAGTGAAAAATAAACCAGCATATCTAGAGCTCAACTCTCTCTACCTTTCCTCCTCGTTCACTCTCTCTCAATCACGTTCCTGTCAGTCACAGCTCATTAGCATGACAAAAGAAGCGAGCTGTTCTCACAGAAGTCTGACTCCAGGATCTGGATCATCTGAGAGAGAGCAGGAAAAAACAGCCACCACCACATGGACAGTGTGACAGAGCCACAATGCACTAGGGCTGTCAACACACGTCATAGAGAATGAGAGTTACTGTGGTGGTACTATGGTATAGTGATGTCAATGCTATGGTATTTTAATGTAGCATGGTATTAACAAAGTACTTAAAAATGTCCTTAAAATATACTACCTTGGTGCATGTCCAACTTACCATGGTAGTATAATGGTATAAAAAAAACTATTAAAAAAATTAATAAATACAATTATACAATATCTTTATATTATATCTATAAAAAATATATATGCCATATAAATGCCATATAAATAACGTTTTTAACGTTTTGTTATATATTTTATCTATTAAAAATAATATATAAATGTCATTATATTTTTATAATTATTTGATTTTTATATATATTTTATCAATAAAAAAATATAAAATATAAATGCTATTATATTATTTATAAAGTTTTGGCAAAATATTTACTACTTTTATAATTTTATCTCTAAAATCTGAATTAATAAATACACACACACACACACATATATATACATATACAAAAATATAAATAACATTACATTTTTATAAATATTTGGTATTTTTTATATCATCTATAAAAAATAGTAAATATAAATACTATTATTTTTTTTTTGTTGGCATTTTTATATTCTACCTATAAAAATATAAAATATAATTAACATTATATTGTTGTTAGTTTACACCAACAGTTGACTGGGATGAGCTTCTAGTGAAGTTATAATGCTGTCCAATGGGAAACTGGAGTCTGTGTGAACTTGCACACAAATGAGTCATTCATATGTTCAGTCTCTCTACATGAGGAGATTCAGAGGATTCTGGGGGATTAACCGCAGTCAACATTCACCGCAAGACTGAAATTCCCTGGTGTACACCTACACTAACACAACATTACACTCACATTATTACTGCACACCTACAGGCGTTCACACTGACACTCAAAGACTCCAATCATTCAAACAAAGCCATTCACTTTCAATGAGAGCGGCTGATCTGAAACAACACGAGTCGCTTCAAAGCTGTACAGTTCACTACCAAATTGATCATTTACAGAATGATTACATTTAGCACTCTTAGGGAAATATGATAATATTTTGTAATTATCATTCAAATCTGACTCATTTTCAAATTGTCGTAAATAAACATCTCAGGAAAATGTTTATGAAAATGTTTCCAAGTTATTACTACCATTATAACACTTCTTTTTTCAATATGGTTTGCGCCAAGAACACATTAATATCCAAATCAGATGCAATGTATGGATACATTTTATAGAATGGGAATACCAATTTATGGACATTTTACGCACATATTGCATAAAGTAAAATAGTATATCAAATCATTCAGTTATATCTTTCATAACTGTACAAAGTTTGGTTAAAAACAGCCTGAAACCTAAAAACTGATTGGAGAATTAAAAAAATAAATAATTGTTTTTGTCTACACATGCGTTTTCATGTCTATTTATTTTTTTGAATAACAGTCCTGGCATCCTCTACAAAGGACATAGAATAAAATATGAATAAATTATTTTTATTTTTTTCCAAAAATGTTTTTCTCAATTTGTTTCTTATGCTCCAACCAATGTAATGACATAAAAAAACAGCAAAATTCACAAAAGCTTTTTTATGGTTCTCAGGTATAAAATATGACTGACTCTGAATATGATGGACTGTGATATGATGTCATTTATATTTTATATTTTTATATACAGAACATTGAAAACAAATAATTATAGTTTAGATTGTTATAGGTATGGCACAGTTGAAGGGTTGAAACTGAAAACATTTTGCACTTGGCACTTTCTTTGCACTTTTTTTTGTGGCCTCTATGGAAAAAATCCACACAAGCTTTTGCCTACATTTTTGTATGCAGATCCTTTTTTCTTGTTTTGCATTTGGTTTGGATCTACACACCCGGACACTTTGTCTACATTTTTACATGGACTACTTACATGGGGTGCTACTCTATTCGTCACACATTACTGATATTTTTAATAAATAAAAAATAAAAAAAGCAAACAATTATAAAAATATAATGGTATTTATATTATATATTTTTATAAATAGAATATTTAAAAAAATATAAAATATGATGATATTTATATTTTATACATAAAATATAAAAAACAAAGTAATTATAAAAACATAATAGCATTTCTATTTAATAATTTTTAGATTAAATATAAAAAAACTAAATAAATACAAAAATATAATGGTATTTATAAATGTTGCAAAATATTAAAATAAAAGAATTTATTTGGTGTTTAATACTGGAGTAGTGACCAATAAGATTTCACTGTGGGCGGGGCTACCCAATCAAAACTCACCTGTATGGTTTGTGCCCGCCTCCCTTGCATAACTCCTTGATGATTGGTCGGTCCCTCTGACAGACAGTGAGACCGGCGGCAGGGCAGCGTATACGCGCCATAGGCGGCTCCGTCGTCCTCACAGGGCGAGATTATTTTATCCTCATCACCTTCTCTGCTTGTGGCGCCACCCTTGTGCCATTTGGCATAGCGTCCGTGCGTAGGCCTGCAGGCGGGGCTCTTCGGTCCGTAGAGCTCGTCTAAAGAATTGGCACGGTTTGAGTCCAGCAGCTCCTGAGCGGACGACTGCAAACTGGCTTCGCAGGTGTCCGGCGTGTCTCCGATCTCCTCCGTGCTGGTCAGGTGCTCCTGGCTCAGGTCGGATAAGGACACCTCCAGTGAGTCCTCCCTCCACATGTCCGCAGACTTAGAGCGTTTCTTTTTAAAGCTGGATGCCTCTTGGGAGCCGTCCTGTGTGCGCTGGACGTGGGACTTGTCCTCTGGCGGTTCGGCGTCGTCCTGCATGGCCTGTTTGGCGGTGTGGGTCGCGGCGGGCGAATGGGCCGGATGGTTGTGGAAGGACATGGGTCTGAGATTCATGGCCACGCGGTCCACCCATATGGGGCTGCTGAAGTCGGGCAGCATGTCCGAGTCGTTGAAGGGCTCCAGGCCGTGGTCGGCCAGCGACTGCGGGATGCTGGGAGTGCTGCTGGAGCGCGTGCTGGTCTCGGAGTTGCGATGCTCCGGTTTTCCAGACGGCGTACGGCGGGAACAGTACGTCTGCTTGCTGGACAGGCGGAGCGAGCGGGACATGTGCTTACGGGAGAGGTGGCGCCGGCCGTCTCCATAATAACCATGACCGCTGCTATGACTTTCTGTGTTACCCATGGCTCAGTATCTGCAGCAGACCGAAAAAACACAGAGATCATGCAACTAAATATAACTGATCCATAAAGTGTTTTCCACTGCGTTATCATTTATGTATTTATTTATTATTTTTTAACACCATGTCACTAGCAAGGCACGTGAATAACTTAAGTCATACAATTAACAAAAACTATAGACATTTAAGATTAATCCAAGACCAAAATTCTAAAATACTAAATGACAGTTAAATATATATTGTACAGTAGAGTCTGATTAAAGGACGAATGAGCCTTATATACACTGGTTCATTTTAGTGCATTTTATGACAACGTGCCGTTAAAGATAAATATTATAAGGTTTGTAAGTATTATTTTATAAAACAATACTTAAGAATAAATGAAAATTTGAATGAAATAAGTTGACACTTAAATATGTTAACACAAATCTATTATTAAGGTCAGTTGTTGACTGCATTTATGCTTCTGAAAAGTCAATATAAAAAAGAAAAACATTTATGCATTAACTGTTTAAATGTATTAATTATTGAAATTATTATTGAAATTGTATCATATTATTTAATATATTATATATACATTTAATTTCAATAATTAAATAATTTAATACATTTTCATATATTTTTATGTATCCTATACATATAATTTTTCAAATATATTTTTCAAATAAA